AGCTGTCAAATGTGGTCGAGCTCTATTTCCACTACTCAACCGCAAATCCAAACTTTATATAAAAAACAAGTTGTTACTTTATAAAATGTGCATCCCAATTATGTGTTATGGCTGTCCGGTATGGTATGGTTTGTGTGCAAAAACTCACATCAAAAAGTTACAAATAATTTAAAATAAAAATCTAAAAATTATACAGTGGCCGACAAAAGTCTACATACGACTATGATTTCGTCCACCTGGCGAGACCAAAGACTTTATAAAGAAAAATAATGATGGATGTTTGTTTAAAATCTGTTTTTATTAATAGAAAACAAAAAAATAACTATGTTCAATGTACACTTAAAAAATATTTACAAAAAAACGAAAAAATGGCGTTGACAAAAGTCTACATACGGCGTGTAACCTAACATAAAAAACTTTATTTAAATATTAAATATCATAATTATTGCTTAATTTAGTATTTGGTTGGTCCACCATTGGCATCTATAATGGCTTGCAGGCGTCGTCGCAGTTCAATCGACGTAATTCTTAGCCATTCTTCTTGCAGCATCTTCTTCAGCATTGGAGCACTAGAAATATGATGTTGACTTATTCTACGCTCTAAAATTTCCCAAACCAGTTCAATGATATTTAGGTCCGGACTTTGGGGTGGTGTGTGCGAATGACGTGGGCCATAGTAAAGCGGCCATTCCTTTACAACCTGTGCGGTGTGTTTCGGGTCATTATCTTGTTGGAAAATCCAACTCTGACCAAGATTTAATTTATTGACCGAAGCTTCCAGATTTTGTTCTAAAATAGACTTATATTGGTAATGATCCATGTTACATTCGATAAATGCAATGTTTCCCACACCAAATGCAGCGACGGCACCCCAAACCATCACGTTGCCACCACCATGCTTAACAGTAGATACTAAGTATTTCGGATTAATCACTGTATTAGCTTTTCTACAAACTTTTTCTCTCCCATCGCTTCCAAAGATATTATATTTCGACTCATCTGTCAACAGAACTCGTTTCCAAAAGTCAAATCCTTTTTCAATATGCATTTTAGCGAATTCTAAACGAACCTTTTGGTTTTTTCACTTATAAGATTTTTTTTGGGTGGAGTTCTGCTTTGGAAACCATAATTATTTAGGGTTCTTTGAATAGTTCGTGGATGCACAGCCGTATCTGATCTTAATGCTAGGCCTTGGGTCAGCGTTGTAGCATTGACTTTCGGATTTTTTCCACTTCTTTTATTATAAAGCTGACACCTCTGCGATTAAGCTTTTTAGGGCGACCACTGCGCGCTTTATTTTCAACAAACAACAGTGTTTTTAAAATTATTGTATATAGTTTGCACTGTAGCTTTACTTAAATTCAACAGATTTGATATTTCCCCAAACGAATTATTCTCATTTCTATACGTTACGACTAAATTTCTTACATCAGTTGAAATTTCCTTCCGCGTGGCCATAATTGCAGTTGAATTATCCTGGAAGCTGTCAAAAATCAAACTAAATGCAATTGATTTGTTATCTCACCCATTGCAGTAGTTAACAAAAAAAATAACGGGACTTAGCCGTTATTATTCAGTAGCAAGCAGAACATAAAGTATGACATGGTGGCCATATGTAGACTTTTGTCTAAGGTTTTTTGGTTTTTCGTAAATATTTTTTTGTTTTTGCATTAATTTTTTTTCTGTTTTATTATATTTATAAAATGAGATTTCAAACAAATCTATATTATTAATTTTTTTCATATTGCTGTTGGAAGTGCCAGAGTTTAGAAATTATGGTCGTATGTAGAGTTTTGTCGGCCACTCACATCAACGGCACCAAGAGGATATGATCATCCCTTTCATCGAAATTACAAATAATTTTGAAATGCGTAATAGATCTTCAAATTTTACATTGCCATAAAAAATGGCATGATTGAGAAATTAATATTAGTGTTACGGCTGTAACATGTAAAATAAGTTTCCACTCTGAAAATGGCCAACTAATATTTCTGGCTGAAGAATTATAATAAAACACCAACTCGTCGTTTGAAATAAAACCAAATCCTCTGGTTTTTCATTCGATTACAAATTCTCTTTATTTGTGATATATTATCGTGTTTGTTTGGTTGGCATTTGTTTGTGTTTATTTGAGTTATTTTTTGGAGGGGTTTTATTATCTAAAATAATAGAAATTAAAATTAAAAGTAAATCGAAATGATTACATAATCAAAAAAGGAACAAAGATACAAAGGTTGTTCTTACTTAATTCTTTCGCTCTCGACGGTTTCTCCTGGAATGACTTGATGAAGTCATTGTGAGAAAATACAAAACGATAAATTATAATGAAAGGATTACTGAACACGTCTTAAAAGACGATAATAAACAAATTATGGAACGTTTACACATTATGAATAAAAATTGATCTCAATTAAAACTGAATGATTTAAAACAAATTGTACGTAACAAAAAACATCAAAGTTATAAAATCAAAAAACGAACGTTAATAAATTTAAACTTTTAAATTAACTGAAAGGTCTTCTAAGTTCGCAACATCCCGCCGCCCGTGAATCGATCTGGAGATTCACCACAAACATCCAGGACTGCTAACTTTGATGCCGGACGACGAAACTTGCCTGCCGATGTTTTCACCACTGCCGAACGAACTTGACCATCAGCCGCTGTACATACTTCCACCACCACTCCTCGCTTCCACTCACCACGCGCCACATTGCTATCACATATAACGACAACATCTCCAACTTAGTAAACCAATCGTACCATCTGCGATACGTTTCAGTTGAAATTGGCGCATTCCAATCTATATTCAATTTCCATAATTCTTGTAGGATGAGTTTTGACCGGAGTACAACGTTAGCCAAAAAACCAAATGGATCAAAAATGGACATGGTTACACTTAGCACCTCGCTCTTCGTTGGAATTCGTTGACCGTCTCGAACTGCAGAAGGAAGTTTTGAAAATTTCAAATTAAAATAAAAAGTATCAGTTTTGGGTGACCAAAATAGTCCTAAGACCTTCTCACCAGTACTTTCGCTACCACAAAAGTTTTTAAAATCCATTTTATTTCCATTTTCATCCGGTTCGAGCGACTCCAAAAGATCCGCTGAGTTTGATATAAAACCCCGAAGTTCAAAATTTGCTTCTTTATGTATTCGAATCACACTCCTGGTGACAGATAACGCTTCAACAATTGTGTCAAAACTGTCAACAAAATCGTCGACGTAATGACAGTCCACAATGGCTTTATGTGCTCTGGGCTCAAAATTTGAATAATATTCAGCGTTTAAGTTTTTGACATATTGTGCACAACAGGGTGAACACGCTGATCCAAAAATCATTGCACTCATAATATAGATGTCTGGTGATCTTGTACTGTCACCTCCTCGCCATAAAAACCTTTGCGCTGTTTGGTCTTGATATCGGATATTGACTCTGTGGAACATTTCGCGTATGTCCCCACATATACCAATTTTACGTTGACGGAATTTAAACAAAATGGAAAGAAGTGGTTTCGGTTGATATTTACATGGACCTTTCATTAGTCTCGAATTAAAAGACTCTCCATCAACTTTTGCCGCAGCATCAAAAACCAATCTTCGCTTACTATTTTTGTTTTCATTCGTCACAACAAAATGTGGGAGATACCAATTATGCTCATTCACAAAAGAAGCTTCATCTGTACTTAATTTTCTGGCGTAGCCCTTTGAAACATATTCATCAATTTTCTCATTATACCATTTAGCTAGTGATTCATCTTTTTTCATTTTTGCTTCGATTCCTTGAAGACGTCTGAGCGCCACCGAATACGTATCCTTAAATTCATAATCATCTTTATGCCACAAAAGACCAGTTTCATATTGGTTACCAATTTTTACCGTTGTATTTTTAAGGATAGCTTCGGCTCTTTTGTCTTCCTCAGACTCTACGGGCAAAACAGGTTTCATCCCAAAACCTTCAATTGAAAAATATTCAGCAACTTGCTTCTGAATATCATTATATTCGTCAACATCAATCACGCAAACCATATTGTCAGCTGACTCCTCGTTGGAGCCGAATAAAATGTTGCCCAAGGGCGTTTGGTGCACGGAAAAATTTTCATCAAGATCCATTACGTTTTGTGGTCGAACCAATCTAATGTGGGGTAATCCAATTAACAGCATAGGTGTCGCATCCAAATAATCATCAATATCAAAATTTTTTAAAATAGAAAAACGTTTTTCAAAATCTGTAATATTTAGAGATTGTTGTGGTAATTTTAAATGGTTTGTAGTTCTAACATTTTTCATCTGCAAATACTCCCCGTTCTTACTTCCAATTTCCACATCAATTCTCATAGACATTTCACTTGATCTTTTCCCACCAATCCAGCCTAGTGACAAATTACTGGATGGTCCACTCAATCCAATCTGCTTGGCAACCTTTTCCTCCAACAAAGAGATTTTTGACCCATCGTCAATAAACGCAATTATGCTTACATGGCCTTTCGGGCCTTTTAATTTCACCGGCAAATATTTAAATAAGGTTTTTTTCTTTGAACAAACATCCACTATTGTTGTTGTTACAGACGATGTGGCATTATCACCGCCATCAGCTGATGTTTGCATTTCGCCATTTCCCATATTATTATTTCGATGTTCGTTTATGTTGTTATTTTTGCTACCTTTGTGTAGCAAACGATTGTGATATCTTTGACAACCACCCACTGAACATTGCTGGCGGTTACTACATTTTTGGGAAATGTGATCTGCTCTCAAACACGTAAAACACAAGCGTTTCTCCTTTACCATCTTCCACCTGTCATCTGTGGATAAATTCTTGAATTTACTACAATAATATATTATGTGGTTTTGCCCACAAGCCACGCACGAATTCCTCCGGTTGTCATCCGTTGTTATTGCAAAAGACTGTTTCACTTTTGCATTCTGCATACCATCGACTTTAGTGGAATCATTTTCTGTGGCAAAGGAAATGTATGTGGCAACTTCTTGGAGCCATGTACTAAACTGGCGTATTGTTGGGTATTGCCCCAAAGAATTCAAGGAATATCTTGCCCATTCTTCTCGTTTTGAAAGTGGCAACTTGTTGACCAATTCTTCTAGCAACGTTAGATTACACAAATGCGGCGTTGCCCCTGCATTTTCCAAAAAAACGGTAAGATTCGACACCATCGTACTATAATTTACTATTTCGGACATTTTCTTACCAGAAATTGTAGGAAATGATCGTACCTTGGCTATTTGGGATCGAATCATTATCTGCGGACGTCCAAAATGGAATTCCAACGTTGACATCACCTGATCTACGCTTTCAGGGTGTATTAAATATGCCTCCACTTTGGCCTTGGCTTCTCCTTTGAGGGCTTTCTGCAACCGTGTTAAATTTTCTAGCTTTGTATAATTGTACATATGTGTTGTTTCTTTAAATGAAACGGCAAACATTGGCCACTGTTCCGGTTGTCCATTAAATTCCGGTAAATCATGTAATTTTCGGATTGAATTTTGCAAACTTGACGGCAAAATTTGTTGTGGCACTGGCAATAACAAATTGTCAACATTACCAGCATTACCGGCGTTTTGTGCCGCTGCAAAATTTGACGTTTGTGGTTGTAAAAACGTTGGCTTTATCGGTGTACTCTGCTGCTGTGATGGATTTAGTTGCGGCACAGAATTATCTGTTGCTCCAATCAAATTATTTTGTTGTGATTGCAGCCCAACATGTGGCTGTGATGTTGTTTTGATAGTGGTTGACGGCGTCGCTGTCAACAATCTCTGTGATTGTTGATAGTTTGATGAAGACATTTGCACATCATTACATAAAGGCGTTCCGTACGTCGCGCAAGATACCATAGGTGTAACTGGTAAAGGTGACGGCGGCAAATTATTTGAAGCACTTTGTGGTGTAAAAAACGGCATGTAATGCAATTGTTGTTGTATTGGTGCATATGATGGTGGACAGTATGTTTGTTGTTGTACAAGCGGCTGTGGAAAGAAAGGGTTAAAAAATTGCGGCGAATTCATGTTTTGGCTAAACATATGTTGATGTTCGATACTTAACTTTTGTGCCGTCGGCGTATACGGCACTCCAACTGTTCGGCTAGGCATTGACGCAACACTGTAATACATTGTAGTAGACGGCGCAGCTACTGCATTTTGATTAAAATTTGGCGGTTGCGTGACAGCAACACTTGTCGATGTTTTTGCGGCATTCATATACAACTGCAACGATGATTTTAAAGCACGAATCTCTTCTTTCAGGCTTTCCACGTTATCACTCGCTGTATTCTCTTGCAGCTCCATAATTGTTTTCTCGTGGTCACTCTCAGACGACGAGGCTGACGCTGTTACATTTTCAGGCAGCGGTTTTATTGCATTCTCATTACCTTGAGACATCTTTAATTTGAGTCGTTGGCTACGACGTACCATAAACTTGTTCCAGGAGAATTAAATAATAAAAATAATGTTACGGCTGTAACATGTAAAATAAGTTTCCACTCTGAAAATGGCCAACTAATATTTCTGGCTGAAGAATTATAATAAAACACCAACTCGTCGTTTGAAATAAAACCAAATCCTCTGGTTTTTCATTCGATTACAAATTCTCTTTATTTGTGATATATTATCGTGTTTGTTTGGTTGGCATTTGTTTGTGTTTATTTGAGTTATTTTTTGGAGGGGTTTTATTATCTAAAATAATAGAAATTAAAATTAAAAGTAAATCGAAATGATTACATAATCAAAAAAGGAACAAAGATACAAAGGTTGTTCTTACTTAATTCTTTCGCTCTCGACGGTTTCTCCTGGAATGACTTGATGAAGTCATTGTGAGAAAATACAAAACGATAAATTATAATGAAAGGATTACTGAACACGTCTTAAAAGACGATAATAAACAAATTATGGAACGTTTACACATTATGAATAAAAATTGATCTCAATTAAAACTGAATGATTTAAAACAAATTGTACGTAACAAAAAACATCAAAGTTATAAAATCAAAAAACGAACGTTAATAAATTTAAACTTTTAAATTAACTGAAAGGTCTTCTAAGTTCGCAACAATTAGTTTAAAAATACATTTTAAATCTTCGCTATTTGCTTTCTAAAAGGTTTTTACCTATTTTTTTGTCTAAAATTTGTATATAACTATTAAGAAAAGGTTTCCTTATAAAATTTTAAAAGGTCCTATTTGCGATACTTTTAGTTTTATCTCATAAATTTTTATTATTATATATTGTTCAATTGTATACTGATAGAAGAATATTCTAATAAAAAAATGATCGCACAATGGGCGTATGCGTGTTGGCTATGCAATATGTTACGTTACACATACGCACCAAAGAACAATATTCTTTCCAAATAATTGTGATGAAATATTAGCACTGAGTATTAAACTATTTTTACAATTTTTTACTTGAGCACCATACTGAAAACTATTAAAACTAGCAAGCAAAATGAAGAGTAAACATATAAATATGGCTTTATTTTTTAAAACTTTTCTTTGGGTAAAATTGATCGTCTAAATAAACAATAATAGCGTTGTTGCCAGCTTCTGCTTTGAAGACTGTCGTTCAGTTTTGGGGGTTTTCCTAGTTTTTCTTTTCGTACTTTCTGAACAAAGCTGTTCTTTCAAAGCAAATTTAACAAATATATCTATAAATAGTTTTATCATTAAACAAGGACGGAAACAGAACATTTATTATAACTATACTATTGTAAAGGTTACAAAACAAAATAGATTTGCCATCAAATTTCCGTTAAATTGAAAACAATAAAAGTCTTTTGCAACAAAACATACACTTATCCCTCGTCAAAGAGCAGATCCTTCTTTGTCATTTGCCATTAAATTAGTCAATCTGCTGGATTCTAATGAAAACAACCAACAGCTGGAAATGAAATCCACTTTAATGATATCCTAGCTAACACAGAGTGATTACAGAACGAGATTAACAAACAGATGGAACGAACAAATGAACGAAAGAAAGAAAACCCATATCAAGAAAGTAATGACACTTGACAATGACATCGGGAAAAGTTGCTACGTTTGTGTGTGCCTTTTTCCGTTGCCATTGCCATTAAATTGCAATTGTGTTAGTCATTCTACAGAGAAATGAGTGTGTTACCCACCCCATCCCCCTCTTCAAGCATTTGAAATTCATAAAACGATGCGAAAATTGCATAGTAATGTTAAATGTAGATGAACTAACGACATTCAAAGGAGAGAATGCACACGTGCAGGAGAAATATGACAACAAAGTCATGTCAGACCAGAAAAGTAATTAGAAACATTTCCCAAACTTTAGTTGCAATAAATTTGTAATAGATTTTGCTAAACTTTGACAAAGTTGTGGAGTTTCATGAAACTGGATTTGCTATGGAGAGTTACATCGGTTGGCGGTAAAAATGTGAAATTCCCATTAAATATTAATTGAGTAGATTTTAAAAATAATGGTTTATCAATCAAAGTTATTTTTAGAACTATGAAACCAAACATTCATGTATATAAAAACTATACTTATTGAGAAGGCAATTCTTTAACTATACTATTTATATCAATTGGGGATGCACTCATTTCTTTTAAAGGGTCTTATTTTTATTCTATTTACAATACAGGATGAGATAAAAAAAACTGCAACCTACTTCAAACTGCTGTAATTTCTAAGCCACTCGTCCGACAGCTGTAAAAATTATTCCTGTCATAGCTCATGATATTGTTAACAAGCGTACAAAAGAATTTTGAGTGAGAATTTTCCAGAAAAAAAGTTATTCGTGATGGAGTCCAAGCGTGATTTCCTCATATCTGGCTGGAAAAGCACAAGTGGCTGTCGTTAGAGCACTCCAAAATTTAAATGTGAATACATTTTTGCGTGATACTGGTACCGTAACCTGACGTCAAGGAAGTGGAAGGAAGAAAACAGCAAGCGACTTGATCGAAACCCGCGTCGCAGTGGCCGAAAAAAATGAATTCGGGGTAAAGCCATTGAAATTCAAGAATTTACACCGCAACAGAAAGAAAATAGACTCTAAAGAGCTGCTTCGCTTGGCCGAAAGTGGTGAACTGCCGAATTTGGTTTTCTCCTATGAGAAAACATTCGTTGTCCAGCAGTTTGTATACAAACAAAATAATCGTGTTTACTTGCCAAAGAGTTCAGCTGTAACTGTGCACCTTCGGTTGGTCACCAGAATCAAAAAGCCGGCCATGGTGATGGAGTGGGCCGCCATAACAGCCGATGGTCGCTCTCCGCTCGTATTAATCGACGTGTTTACTTGCCAAAGAGTTCAGCTGTAACTGTGCACCTTCGGTTGGTCACCAGAATCCAAAAGCCGGCCATGGTGATGGAGTGGGCCGCCATAACAGCCGATGGTCGCTCTCCGCTCGTATTAATCGACCGTGACATCAGAATAAATGCCGAATATTATAGCAAAAATATTATGGAGGGTGTATTAAAGCCTTGGGCACACAAACATATTCGCAGCTGCCACCCAAGAATGGCTACAAAATGAGGTTCCTCGCTTCATTTCCAGCGCATAATGGCCTCCAAAATCTCCGAATACCAAACCGTTGGACTATTGTGTCCGGAGTATTTTGGAAAGCAAGGTTGACACTAAAAAATACGAAAGTGTCGGGAATGGACCAAAATACCGCAGAGCAGCATTCGGGCAGCGTGTGCCGGTTTCATAGGTCAATTGAAGGCCATAATTCGTGCCAAAGGTGACCACTTCGAACAAATCAAAAGTTATTGTAAATTTTGATTTTTTGCTTTCATTCAATAAAATTTAAAAAAATCTAAAAATTATGGCGTTTGATTTTGTAGCAGTTTTTTATCTCACCCTGTAATGAAATGTATTTAATTTTTTTGGAATGATAGTCCATTTTTTGCATAAAATTTTAAGTCGATTAGTGATAACCGATTGTCGGTCCATCTGTCTGTGTAATCATGCTAGTTTAAAAAAATATATATAACGTTTGTAAAAATGAAAATAGGGACAATATCGCTTGGTTCGGTCGTATCCAATCTATTCGGTTCGAATCACCAAATGTTGACAATGAAACAACCATGTTAATGTTTACAAGGTAGGGATAAGGCAGGGAATAACTAGGTAAATTTTACCATCATTCTCCACTAATAATCAAACGTTGTTTTTTATAAAAACAACAATAAAGGGATAAAGCCTCACCTTTTTGCAACAACAAAATACTATGGTATCCCGAACAAACAAGCCAACACGGTTATATAGCGAAATATATACAATGTGTATATACTACAAAGGAAAGGGATGTTAACTAAAAAATTGTGTAGTATTTTGTGATATTTTTCATATTTTTATCGCCTGCGATTTTTTTAATTTGACTTATAATATTGAAGTGTATATTTTGTAATATTTTTTCACCTTACAACACAGGTTGGGGTTATTACTTACAGATTGTAATTATCGTCCGATCCTCACGATTCATAAGATAAAGTTAGGTTCAAAAGGGCTAGGCCTATTTTTTTAAAGATGTCCGCAATATATTTAGGGGTTTAAATGGGCCAACAACTAAAAATGTTCCTCATTACGCAGCCGTTATAAAGGTCACAAATAGAAACCAAGGGGCACAAAATCTCGCATGAAGTTACAGTTTAGGACAGCGAGTAGAATGGACTACACTTTTGTGTGAAAAAAATACCAACATTTCCATTCTACCGAAACGCTAAATATAACTTATAGGCGAAATCCAAGATCTATGATCCATTTTAAGTTTAATAATTTTTTTGCTCAAACATGTAAAGCGGAGTAGAAACAAAATTTCGTATTTAACCTCACAAAATCATTTATTTACCCCCTTTCTAGATACTATAAACGGATGCAAGCCGTGAAACTTTTTTGGTATTTGAAGCGCATCCGATGTTCATGTCCACTTTTGATAAGCGCCCGATTTCAGTGGCCACTGCGAAAATCAGCATTAACGTATACCAATTTCAATACGATCAGCTTTTTTACTAACACAGTTTTTGGATATATCTTTCTTATGGTACGATGTATAAAATAGATGTTATTCAACTCAAAGATTATAATTATAAGAAGTCCGATCGACTCTGTTTGTTCATAATTGTATATAATAACAGGAAACAAAAATTTCCAAAACGTTACTGAATAGAAGAAATAACAAAGCCTCTTATAAAAATATATTCTTTATTCAATACCATAATTTTTCGCAAACTATTCTATTACAAATAAGAGTCATATTAAATTCATGTGTACATATGTATGTGTGTACGTCGGAATGAAATACGAATTCACAAAAAAAAGAAAACCAACCTCAAACAACAGCAAATAATGCCGAAATCAAACACAGACAATCAGTTTTTTTTTTGTTTCGCACAAAATAAGCAACGTATCGCTCACTCTATTCACTTACGAACATTGCACATTAACAACTGCCATCACGTATGCCAGACAGGCAGACAGTGTTTTAAATGTAAAATTAGGTTTTGGCTTTATATTTCTTGCTTTGATATTCGAAATTCAATTAGTCTGAGAAAAGCACTTTTAGCTTGAAAGCAAAACTCGCTCACATTTTTATATGAACTATTTGATAGGTGGCATACAGTGGATTGAGTTTACATGAAGAATATATATACAGGGTGAGATAAAAAAAACTGCAACAAAGTCAAATGACATAATTTTTACATTTCTTTTTTAAATTTTATTGAAAGAAAGCAAAAAATGTCGGAAATAGCACCAAATTTTAAAATAAGTTTAGATTTTTTCGAATTGCTCACCTTTGGCACGAATTATGGCCTTCAAACGGCCATACGATGGCCGAATGTTGCTCTAAGGTTTTATCCCCTTGCCGGCGAAGCGCTAGTTTGAGGTGATCGACATTTTGGGATTTTTTAGTGCCAACCTTGCTTTCCAAAATAATCCGGACACAATAGTCCAACGGATTGGTATCCGGAGATTTTGCTTTGCTATTTTGCGCTGGAAATGAACCTTATTTTGTAACCATTTTTGTGTGGCGCGTGTTGAGTGCGATTGTGCTGAGTCTTGTTGGAATGTAAAAGGTCTGCGAC